GAGTAAATTTGCCAAAACTGTTTGCAGAGCTCAATGATTCTTCATCATCCTGTGGTTCAAATAACTCTTCTGATATCCAGTACAAAAGCTGACAGTCAAGATTTCCCTTTGTTTTGTAACACGATCTTTATACAGCTTCAGAATAACCCCAGATGAAACATCAGAACATGGCAAAAACCAGATGGGAATGCCAGAACTAATGTCACCTCATTCTTCAAGAATATTGCACAGAACATGCCAGTGACAAAGGCTTGGATTCAGTCTAGACACTGAAGTTCGCTCTGCTAAAATGATGAATTGATCAACGTTCAAAGGAGGAAAGTGATCTTGACAGCAAAATGTGAAGATTCAAGGAAGGCAGAGCCTGACATGCAAAGGCATGGACCTGAGAGACAGTTAAGATCACGTAGGTAAGAAGAATCACCTGTGGCTAAGCCAGTTTGGGAGGGTGTTTGGTCTGCAGCTGTTTCTTGAATACTGAGTGTACATGTAGAAAGAGACTGTGAATATAAGTAAATTATTTATAGAATTTGCTGCTTGCATGGGAGTGCTAGGAAGTGTGGTAGAGTAAATGTAGACAAAGGATAACCTCTCACAGCCTGTTAAAGCACTTATGACTGAATACTGCTCGCTGATGGTAGGTTGTCCTTAGAAAAGGTCTGAGAATTCAGAGGCCTTAATGCAATACCTGGAAGCTGCAGAAAGTTTGAAAAAGAGTATTCCCTGCTTGCGGTGGCTTTCCTCAAGGGAAACTGGAAGCATTTCCCCTGGGTCCTGCTGTAGAAATGCTTACTTTGCAGTTGGCCAACATGCCTAGCTGCCCCACAGCCCATGCTGCTGCAGCTTGCTTGCTGCTGTTTGCCTCAAGTAAGTCAGAATATTTCTAGTATTTCTAGTAACTGCAGTCATGCATTTACAGTGCATTGAAGAGCTACTGCTGACCTGGCTGCCGATCTGAAACGGGCTAGACCATTTAACTTCAGGTGTGGAGTGATACTACCAGTGGATTTTGCATCCAGCAAGAGTTCATCTCCTTCTGCAGAAAGTGACATTGAAAACATTGCTTTAGCAAAAAGCAGGTCTACGGTCTACTCTTTGTGCTAACACAAACACACTGTGTTAGTGTGTGTAAATGTGTGTAGTTTAAGGATCTGGCAGACAGACTGACAACTTACAGACTGATTTACAGACTGATACACCTGCAAGAGTGTACAGGTACTTGGAAGACTGTGCCCAGCAAGCAGGACTGGAGAAGTTTTGTTTCTTTCTTACATGAGGGAAATACCTAATTATAAGGCTTGGGCAGTTGAACAGCTCGATGAACAGTATAAAGAAAACTAGGTTAAAAAATATCCAGGAAAATGGAGGCTAGTTAGCTCTTTCTTTTCTGATGGATCTATTAAATGAAATCATATTCTAGCACACCCCTCTCAGCTATGATCTCACAACTATTAGTTAAGCTTGGTCATATGAAAATGCCATTTCTTTTCCCAGTAAGAAACAAAGGTTTGTCTGTAGCTTCTCCCCTGAGCCTCTGAGGGCTTGTGTGCTCAATACTCCCTTATGTGCTGTTGGCTAATGTAATAGGCAGGTCGTAGTAGCATCCAATTCTTAACCTCTAAATCCCTATCCCAAAGAGGTAGATAACTTATAGTTCAACTGGCAGGGTGCAGCCTTCAACAGTGCTGGAGCACTACTTTAATTCATGCCCCTTGAGCTATTACAGACATGCCACTGCATCCCTAAGAAACATACACGGATCATAAATAAGGTTAGATGTTATTTTAAGTAATAAACACTGAGATACAGAAGCTTCACTGCAGCCTTCTGTCTTCGCCTGTCTCTTCATTTCAACTATTTTTAGTTTGCAGTCAGCATTATGACTGTGAACTCAAGGAACACTTGGACAATAGGTACATAAATAATTATAGATAGGTCTCCAGAGCCTTAAACATTAGCAGAGGATTCAAGTTAAATACTGTCTGGGACTATTCAGTGGCTTGGAAATGTTGCTGTGCTTATACATATTGATATAATTTATAATTTAATTTCCTATGGTGAAAAAACTAACCTGGACATTGGCAGTGGTGGAATGGTCTGCACAGAAGCTTTGAGAGTTTCAAACTGATATATTACTGAATGCAATTCTGCAGAATGAGGTGGAGCCATCTTCTACGTTTGTCTGCTTACACTTCACAACAGCGATCTGTGACAACTTTATATAGGTTAAAACTGATTAAAGCTGTGTTATTACTCATTTAAGAGTTACCTTGCCTTATGATAATGCTGCAGTGTTGCTGAAACCTGTTTGGGATATTAACTGCTAGAGTTGTCAAAGAAAACATACTGCACATCTGCAGATCTGTCTGAGAGTAAAAAGAGATATTTTTACTGGTTTTCCAATCGATATTTAAAATATGATTTAATAAAATAGCTAGTAAGGATAAAAGCTAAGGGTGTATCAAGGGATACTGCATTGCTGTTGCTTTGGGTTGTGATAAAAAATGAAAACAGTGAAGACACTTGTGTAAACTACTGAACCTTTTTTCAGTAACTTGTTTTTTCTGCATGCATTTTTCAAAGACAACTCTTTGACATTAAGTCGCTGCTTGAAAAAGTCTCTTATGAAGTATTAGTCAAAGTGTGCAGAAAAGTAGGGTTTTTATGCAGAGATATAAAATGTATTTTTAAAAACTGAAATGTCTATTTATGAAAGCATTATCTATGCAGACATTGATGTTGCTAAGAATGTTACAAAATTCCCATGTAAATTTACTCAATTTGTTTTTATTTCCTTTTCAAAGTCTGTGAGAATAATTTATTTTGATGTGTCTTTGGAGAGCTGGGTCATGCAGGACAGTGAGTAGCATAGAAGACTTTCACCTCCCTAGTCACCCTTGCAAATGCAATGGTAGGATGAAATAGCAAAGGTTAAGAGTCCACTGAAATACAAATGCATCTCTGCAAATCTATAAAGAGAAGAGTGAGGACCAGTTAGGCAGAGAACATTCCATGTTGTGACACTCTGTAAAATCAAGGGGGGACGCTGGAATACATCAAGAGCCAGAGGCAGGACTTTCTTGCTTAGTAATTAAAGGTCTCATTTTAAGGGCAACAAGACCTCAGGTCTTATCTAGGCTTAAAAAAGGGAGAATTTAAATTCATGCTTCCTGTCCTTGAAAAGTGTACTACCTTCCAGCGACAAGTCAGTCTTTAAACTTGTGGTGAGTTCACAGCTGTAAAAAGGGGAAGCCCTCCTCTTGCTGCTGCACCCTGTACCTGCTGGACCACTCAGGGAGTCATTCTGGATCACTGAAATGGCAGAAAACTACCTCAGAAAAAAGGAAAAAATAGCAAACAAGACAGCATCCTGCCATTCTTGTGAGCTGAAGTGGCTTGAGGGAGCCTCTAAGCAGCCCCAGAACAGGTGTAGAGGGAGCAGGAACGCTCCTCTCTATGGCTCTGTGCATTTAAACCAGTACATCTGCTTCTGAAATGGTGCTTAGGAGAATCTTCCCTTGATTCTGGGATTGCTGTGCAACAGCTGAGGTATGTTGGGCCTGAAGGAACACAGAGCAGAGTGAAAACCTAAAACCAAGTGTGAGTCTATAAACTTCTGTTAGAGCATGTGCCTGGTGGTGTCCTGGTCACCTGTAACAGCCTGTGTGTCTTGTATTTCATAATATGCAAATACTAGGTAGGAGCTGGGTATGTTACCCAGAAGACTTCTGACTGGTCCATGAGTGACAGAAGGTGAAGCCAACTATCCTTCTCAGGTGAAGTAAGTCTTCCATTTCACTCTTTCAATCTCAGCCCCAGATCAGTCTCGTTTTCTTACTTCTCCCATTCTCCTTCTGTTCCAGTTTAGTCCTTTTTTTTTTTAATTCAAGTTCAGCTTTTATCCTCACTGCAATGGAATGCATCAGGCCACACCTATAGACACAAACCACACTGTAGCAGGTGTCTCACAGCTGTCTATCTCTACTCCCAAAATTCTTTTGGGCACAGTGTGGCAGTCAGTGCAGGTCAAGGACTACTCCCAGCAGGCAGTTTAGAAGAAGCAAGACTGCTTTGAAAGGCAGCTGAGAAGGGACATACAGATGTGACCAGTGCCGTGTCTGTCCACCTCAGAGTCTACAGACTATGGAGACGTAGTGACGTTCATCGACAGCTCAAATCCAATGAAACAATAAGAGAATTCCCTGCCAACAAGTTCCAGCACCCAACTCCACAAAGTGCTATAAATGTGGTCTTACTTCTACATCTCTAAGGTGGAAGGAACTGAGTATTTTGTTGGCCTGACATATGCACAGTTGCTAAAGGAGACTGCTCAATAAGGAGAGAGTTACTGGGGAGTTTATCTGCAAAGTTTTGAAAAAAGTTTGTAGAATATGCACAAGTGACCATAAAATAAAACACAAGTTCTACCACAACATGAGGAAGTACTTCTTTAAACTGAGGGTGGCAGAGCACTAGAACAGGCTGACCAGGGAGGCCATGGAGTCTCTGGAGGCATTCAAACACCACCCAGATACATTCCTGTGAGACCTGCCCTGGCAAGGTAACAGATGATCTCCAGAGGTCCATTCCAACCCTAACTATCCTGTGATTCTGTGAAATTATTAAAAAAATATAATAAATTTAGCACCCTCCTTTCAACCTTTGGCATATGATTCAAAAGTAAACATTATTGTGCAAAAAATAATGCATGGCCTATGCCTCCTAATTGAAATTAAACATGCTCAATTTTAAACATGCTCAATTCTAAGGTAAGATGTGAAGAAAATTTGGGGAATCTGCTTTTGAAAACTGGTGGGCAACTTCAATTATAAGCAGAGCTATTACTGTTCATGTCTGGTCATAGAAATTCACTTTACAAAAACTGAGAAGCTGGTATTTTATTCTAGTAGTGGCATTGAGGAATTGTGATTGATTCTGCAGAAGTGACAGAGATGTATCTGGACTAGGCAAGAGAATAAAGCCCACGAAATCAAACTGAATATATTTTTTGAGAATTTATTCCAGCACTTGGTAGAAAACTGAGGCAACCCTAACAGGAGCAAAACTCAAGTCAATATTACAGAAAGAATAAGAAAAATCACCAGTGAATTTACATGTGAAAGTACAACCATATACCATTCATTCCTTACATCTGTTCAAATTTGTACATGTTTCTGAAAGACAGATTGGCTTAATTTGTTGGAAATCCACAACTATTTTGAAAGCACAAATGCCACTATGTTACAGTACTGTAACACAGTATGACATTCCTATGACAGACTCAAGACCCGCCCCTCCCTCTCTGATCTCAGTTGAAGTGTGACAACATCACATTGGCATCACTAATGCACAGCCCTCAGTGTACACTGAGTCTCATTTTAGTATGCTCTGAACTAGCTTTCCATACCCTCTTCACTTCAGACTGTAGATGCCAAGGACTTCTAGCCTTGAGCAGGCAGGAATAATTCATACAAATGAACAAAACACATTTATAAAAGACAACACTGTAAAACTAAATGTACTTGCCGTTGGACCTTCTACAGTCTGGACATGACCTGCAGTTTGATCTCAGGAAAACTATTTCAGCTTCAGACAAAAACATTTGGAATGTAAAGAGACTACTGAAAGTCCTGAGAACAACCTAAAGAATATTACTGTTATAACTCAGTAAAATCCATTAATGTTTCCACTAACATTGAATCTAAACATGCATCAGTGTGAACCATGAATGATAATTCCAAGTTGCAATATGGCCTAAAATTTCCAGATATCACAGAAACAAATGGTTACGGTAATTCATGACACAGCATTGCACAACATAGAACAGAGCGCCTCTTTTTAATATGTATATGGAAATTCCAGAAGTGTGATGAGACAAAAGCAGATATATTTATTTGAATTAATTTATAAGACATGTTAAAGCTACTATCTAATAAAATAAAAACCGATTACCAGGGAAGAAAACCTTTTTTGAAATGGTTTCTCTTTTCAAAATGTAAAAATTCCTTGCTGGTAATCTTACAAAACACATACATGCTGCAAAAATGAAACATACAAGAGGAGCAATGAAGAATTACCTCAACTTTCATCACCACTTCACTTGATTGAAACTGTTCTCATGTTCCATTAAGTATAATAATATATTTGGAAAATGTAAATAACCTAATTATATTTTCTTCTTTCAAGCTGCCAGGCACCAGTCATATATCGCAGTCGTATAAAATGAAGATCCCTGCCCATCTGCAGCCAGCTCCAAACTTCTACTAACTTAGAACCTATGATTAATGAAGAAGAAAATCAGAAAAGACATTGTTAGAAAAAAAAGAGCACTGCCAAGACACACACTTAAGCAGTCTTGAAACTCTGCATTCCCAGCACACTGAGTCCCACAACCTACATCTTAACACTAATAAAAATGAATATTTTGAAAGTTATTGCTTTACAGTAACTACACTATGCCATAGGTGGGAGAATCTAGTTTGCAAGCAGCACAGTAATTCCATGTAGGTGACAAGATGCACAGTCTTCTCCATGACAAGGCTTTATTCAAGTAAATAGGAACCTGAGCAACAATAATTAGGCAAATAATGTTTTTATCGACTTTGGAGAAAAAGATGACCACCTTATGTTACAGCAGTAATATGAACGTGCCAATCTTCAGGCAAGTAAGGAACCTACACCAGGAAACTCAGCCTTCTTCCATCTCTGCTAAATTTGTGATAGGCGTAACGCATCTATGGAACTGCATTAAAAGGAAGCACTTCTTTTCTACCAAAGCTGTCTCAGGACATTCTCTACTTGCACCCTTCGTCATCACTGCAGTTCATCGTACTACCTGTTCAGGAGTTGTGTTGAGGGGAAGAGATTCAGATTAAGAAAAGATAAAAACATGAAAAAGGTAAAAAAAATGGAGGAACTGCATTTGATGGGAGGGAAGTGAGCAGAAGCAAGCAGTACCTCTTAAGCTGGCTTTGCTATGACAAAATATGCATGGAGCTATACTTTCCAGTAACCCAGTGTCAGAGACCTCCCTATGAGTCTGAAAGAGCATCACATCTTAAAAAGAGATGGTGCCTTAGAGGAGGCCTTAATAGCTGACAATTTTGGAAGGCAGGACACAGTGAAATGGAGTTGAATCAATAAGCGATGATGGTCAGACTTCCTGCACAGTGTTTTACAATTGCTCTATTTTTATTAACACATTACAGCAAGAGGACATGCCCAAACAGTGTTTTGTCCTAGCAGTGTAACTACCTACTTTTGCCCCCAGTGGGAGTGCAGAGTTACTCTTCCTGTACCAAGCCATGGAAGAAGGCTGGCAAGGACATGAAATTCAAAATTTATATGGAAAGAAGGCTGTGTGTTATCAAAACTGAGTGAAATATGGGCAGATCTTGGATACTTTACTCTGGATTAACATGTAAGGAATCTTACAAGAATATAAACAATTTGCCTACCTTCTATTTCAGTCCAGTTGACAGCAACTTCTGCTCTAGGTATTTTCAAGCGCTAGGCTATATAAAGAAGTTCCACATCAAACGGCCTGAAGAAGAACAGGAAATAGAAAATACAGTCACACTTATTTCCAGAAGAAAGACAGTGGCAATGTTAATTAAATCCCTTGCCCAATTTAATTGGTATCAAGTGCATAACTGAACTAATTGTTCAGTTATGCAGCTGATCCCAGTGCTCTACAGGTCAGATGCACATGGAAGGGAAATTTATTTCCCTGACTGAACATCTCAGAACACAAGCAATATACAATATTACAACAATAACAACAACACTTCACTGCATCCTGTTTTTGAAGGTCATGCTGTGTTCAGACCACTGCTCGCCTGTCATTCCAGCCACTATCAGGATTTAAACATTTTTAAAGACCATGAAGACCAAGCAGGCAAACATACAAGGTCACTCCACATTTCTAGGAGTTTCATCAAAGGGGACAACTACTTGCTGTGGCTTTATGCAGATCTGATGGTCTCTCCTTGTACTTTCTAAGTCAAGAAGCTCTAGGCAGCAGCACAGAAAATTATCTAAGTTACTGTGCATAACAGAACCTGAACAACAGTTTTACTTTATCCAGTGGCCATTTAAAGCACAACACAGAAACCCTCTCAAGACACTTGTGTTGTTTGCTGGCAAAATTTTTTGCAGGTTGTGCAGCAAAATGAACTGGGGAAGTGATACTGCTCTAAGTCAGCTGCCCTTTTCTGCCCACTTTGTCCAAAATATACTTCAATCCTCTGAATTCTCTGCACAGAGAATTGATGCGTGTTTCATTCTTGCAACTGTGTGCTCAAATGGGCCTTCTGGACCTGAAGCACTGAAGCTTTTGGTATTAGACAAGTAGCTTGGCAGCTTGTCATGCTCATGTAAAAATCAGCATATGAAACTGCCAGTTGCCACTATTGACAAGAGTGAATGCAAATCACAATTATGAAGATTCTGGTGATTTCTGTTAAATTTCTTAGATTTATTGATAGCTAGGTCTTTTTTCCCCCCTCTTTATAGTCTTCAGTAGGGACATTCTTGTTGCTTAAATGAGTTTTAATAACTGGTATTTAAGCTACACAGTCCCCCATTCCCCCCAATAAGCAGCTTTTTAAAAATCCTAGTCAGTATTGGAAAAAACGTCAATGGCCTTCTACATGTAGTTTCTACTAGATTCAAAACATTCATTACAGAGGCTTGGGGTTTTTTCCCCAGAAAACTAGACCTTGAAGGTTAAGGAACTGGAAACATTTTATCCAAGCTGTTGGTAAGATTCCCAGTTTGAAGTCAAGGGAACAGATGTTCAAGGCCAGCTTACAGAGGGGTCTTGAAAATGCAGCTGTGAGGCAGTCAAGTAAGATTCAACATTAGTCCACATTTTCTCTCAGTAACTTCATAAGTTTAGATTATCCTTAAATTCTCATTGCTAAGTCCAAGACATTTTTCTTTTGAAATAAAAAAAATCTTTTGTTACTGGAGAAAATGTATGCAATAAAAATCCCACATTATTCATTCATGCTTCAAGGGTTGCTTCAATTCAAGTCATTGGTAATTCCATTTAAGATTACAGAAAGGGTAGAAAGAGACAGACAGGTGATCAAGAGCAGGCACAAAGACATCCTTTAGCAGGGTGCTAGCCAAGTTCAGATGTTACTTCCTTCTACTTCAAGCCACCCTCTCCATTTTAGCAGTGTATTTCTGCAAAACTATCAATGAATGCAACAACAGCAATTGACTTTGAAATGTGCCTTTAGGTATGACACACATATGTAGGTTCCCACTGAAGTGCAGACCACAGGCAAATCACGGGCAAACAGGCATTGACCTGAACTCGTGCTCCCCGTGTACATTACAAGAGAACTACAGATATCACTGGACAGCATTGAACATGCAAAGGCAGCATAAACAGATGTTATCTACAGAGACTACACTTACTGTGTATGAAGAGTTTAGAGCTATTTTCTAAATTTGATTTTGATCACGACACAGGCCTTTTAATTGTCAACAAAACAGTCACAGAATACATTTTTTTCTTGGTGAACTGAATCTGCTCCAAGCAGCCTTGCCATTTCACTGCTTTCTTTAAATGAGGGCTGAATATTATTTCATTAATTACTCCACGGTCTCTTTTACTGAAGTTATAGTATTTAATTATTTTGCTGACATTTTAGTTTGTAAGCCAAAAACCCCATGTATTCACCTTTGAATGTTTATGAATCATGTGTATAAAGACTAAATCTAATTTTGTAATACTTACTACTTAAATGACTAAAAATCTTAAGAGACACAGAATAGTTGTCTGATGAATTAGACTACATGAGCTCCTCTAAAAGTATTACTACATAAATTATTAGCCTAGTGAACTGGTATTTGCAACAATTCCTGTGGACAACTGATTACTGGGATGTCAGCATATATATCACAGAACAACAATATTAAATAGTTCTGTGAACTACAGTGCTTAAAGTAAAAGATTAAAAGCACATAAATTAATCAGGTTGAACACTAATATTGTTACATGTGGTTGCCATTTGGGTAACAGTGAACATATCCCAAAATTAAAAAAAAATCTATTCAAAGCTGACGGGAGAATGACTTTAGCAGAACATCACTGGGGTATCTTTCTGGTTCCCTTTCCCCCACCACTTTTCCACAATAGTTAATCAGAGAATACTGACCACAGTGTACTCAATAGACTGATAGCTTTACATCCATACTGCAGATCACCGGACCCAGATGGTATAGAAGAACCACACAGAACACTCCACAGCCAGGATTTAAGCGTGGGTATGTTACATGGAGCCTGTCCTAAAGGAGATCAAAGCCACACCAGTGGTTGAGTTGGTGAGTGCGATTTGCCAGGAAGCCATTTGTGACTAGTTAACATGTGACAGAAGCACTCTTAGAAACAGCAAGGTATTACTCATACCATGTACTTCATCCTGCTGCGGAGACTGAAAATAGGTGCCTCTTGGAAGAGGGACACACAGCTCAGAATACCTATGTTTGGCTCTAGCCTGAATAAATTCAGGCTCTACTTTAAGTTTAGATGAAAAATTTAGACACACAAAAATACATGGTGTGAACAATTTCCCCATCTATTTCTAATAGTGGCTCCATTATGTGTTAATTGACACTAAGATGTAATGTAAAATAAAAATTTCTCCATGTAGTTGTGTTTTGCTTAAGTTACAATTTAAGGCAATGCTGGCTAAAATTCATTCAAACACCAAGCTGGTAGGTGTTTAATTGAATTACATTCGTTTAAACTGAACCCTTAAAATCCTTGAGCTTATAAAATACCTATCCTGAAAAATTATTCTGTATTTTAAAATTGCACTAGAACTCTTCTTTTTTCCCTCATCCTATATTATGAGTTTCAAAAAACAAATTCAGACCTTCAGTTATAAAGTTTTAACTGGAATTCAGGACTTTTGTACACCCAAGATTTGTTTTTCCAGTAAATTCTTACTGGGTAGAGAAAACTTCCAATGGTCAAAGAGGTTTTAAGAATGAAACAGGATGTCAAATGGGTTAGTCTGCCAGCACTGCTCTAGCTAAACTGGGGCTTTTAAAAGTCCACATATGTCTGCCAGGAGCAGGACTTTCTGCAAGACAAAAGAGACAAAGCTAAAATAGCAAAATGTTTTTGTGTTGATTAGATATTAATAAACAATTCTACTTGCCATGCAGAAAACCAGGAAAAAAATCATTCCACTGCTTATGTTGGTCTACAGTGCCAAAGAAGTGGGGAAAAAAAATTCCTGTAACAATAAATGCTTATTTTTCTGTAATTTTTATATGGTGACTCACATTTAGAGATTAATGACAAACTGGAGAAACAAACATTAATTTTTTATATTGATCTTTCCAGTTTTAAAAGTGAAACAGCATGGCTTGTTCAGTGCACAAGGCAACTTTTATAGACAAAAGCAATAGCAACCATTTGATCTAATCAGTGATCTGCTGGCTTGGGTAATGTCATTATAAATTGCAACTTCAAAAAAGTTTGTCAGTCAAACCAGGACTAGAACAATGTTTTGAATTTCCCTCCTTTAACCATTATTCGAGGTAGGACAGTGATTGCTGCTATGCCTAGTTCTCCTAAGGATGGACATTTTCTGGATGAAAGGAGATTTATAATTTTTTTTGGTTGTCAGAAGAAAGCAGTGATCAAATTTAGGATATGAAACTTCTGCCAGTGAGACCATTTATTTTTCCAGTATTTCTCCTGTGCATCAAAATTTAACAAAGTTACATTTCTTAAGTCAAGACTGTAGATGCAGAACTAGACCTTCTTTTGTACCCTGGAGTAATTACAGCTGTCTTTGTTATGTTTTTATAATATCTCTTTTAATTTTAAGTTTTAAATTAAAAAATGTGTTCCATCCATTTCTGAAAAAGAGATTAATGGTGTAATCAGATTCAGAACCTAAAACAAAAAGCACATGCTCTCTGTTCAAAAGATTGCTCTCATTTCAAACTAATGTCAAAACATTGCTATTTAGAAAGTAAATTTCAAGAATGTTTGGTTTGTGTTCATATACACACAGTCAGCTCTTCAAAGGACAGTTAAACAAAAAGACAATGAGAACACTCAAAAAACAAGCTAGTTTAGGATTTAGGCATTACTTCTTAATATTGAATATATACAGTTTGCAGTATCTATTGATTTTCAAATGCTTTCTAAACTTTAAGGTTAGATTAATAAAACATTCTAGGAAACATGTTGGTCTCTCTTTAAAAAGTTACATGATCCTTATTGCCATAATGATAAAACTGTATTTTTCCTTGTATACTTCAGTTTGCTTTCAAGATTTCCTAAATATAAGCATCTACAAATCAAATTCACCACAGCAAGAGGAAAAATGTGGTCTATTTCCTAGTGTTTTTAATATTAAAGAGGTGATATTCCCATCAAGTCCACTGGAATGGAAAAAGCACAAAGCAAGCATAAAAAAGTGAAGGTCTAAGCAGGTAGGAATTACTAGATAGCTGATTTTATAGTAATTTTATATTAACATCCTGAGTAAACACGTTTTGCATGAA